ACACACACACACTTTATCCTTTTATTTTTAGCTCCAGCGGGGCCTATGGCTCTTGAATCACGACCCGGCCCGGCTAAAATTGAAATTGAGCAAGCCTCTTTCCAACCGACTCGTCTTTTGTCGGGGCGTGTCGGGGCGTGTAGCCAAACAGACTACACCCACTACGGCTGGGATCGGGCGATCGGGCCGATCCAGCCGAAGTGGGCACCCCGTATTAGGAAATAGACTGGGCTCCATTTCAACTACCGACTTTCCGAGAGAATCGGGTCCATTGGTGTCCGTCGCAGTGGACATGGGCCCTAAGCCTGATTCCCTGTTTGGACTTTTCTACTGACACCCCTTGGCGCTCATACTCATACTAGGACCTTATGCAGTTGCGAGCGCTGTTAAAAACCAAAGATTTTCTACCAGTAGAGAATCTTTGGTAAAACCTTACTGATACTTTAAAAAAAGAGACTAACACTCGGCCGTTGTCGTTGCTTTGATATGAACGCAAATGAAGGATAAGAGATTTTTTGGGTACATTTGGTCAGTCGGCTGTTGTCGTTATACGGGGTGCCCACCACGGCGGGTCGGGCTAATTGCCCGTTTCGGTCGCTTGAAAACAAACGCGTTTGGTTTTGAGTCTGCGAGTCTCACCTAAAAACAAACGTTTGTTATCTCGCCTGACTCGCCGACTCAAAAACAAACGCGTTTGTTTTCATGGCAACCGAGTCGCACGTCTGAGTGTTTGGTTTGAACGCGCAGTTATGAAACCTTTGTAAAGTGAAAACTACTTATTATCATTTTAGATTTGTTTTTTTTTGTTTTGTTTTTAAAGCAAAGTGTATATTATATTTCTACCATATACTCACTGATACGTAATGTGGTTTGCTCCCGTCTTTAATCTTACTAGCTTTAGAGTGATGACAATACTTTCCCTCCTACATATAACCAAACTCGCTATCCGTGCATCGCCATCCCTTAATTATTTCAATAACAAGAAAAGTACGTTTATTTCATTACGATATGAATTCTTTGAATTCTCTTTGTGCTATTCAACTTTTTTCTAGTCCTTTGATAGTTTTGAAGTGTGCAGAGAACTTTGAGGATGTCTCCACGTTTTGCATTGCATGAGCGGATAAACATGGGTGTCCGCCAGATGTCCCCAGGTTAAGTTGGTGTAGGTTAAAAATTGGCTTATAAATTGTTACCCTATACATGCTTCTTTCCTGCCACTTATTGACTATTCTGGTGGGAACTGATTTTTTTTTTTTTTAACCCTGCCGGGTGGCGCCACCTCAATTAGTAAAAAGAAGAATGTCACCTGGGTTTTACAAAGCGGCCATAGGCAGGGTGTTTTCTCGTCTACTTATAGAGACCCACCCATCCATGTAATATATCACGCGAGGAATAACCCTGTCTAACAGTAATTGCATTTTCATTTGATGACGTCCTGTTGTTTATGCTAACGTCTTGTCTATTCAATAAGCTTGACAAGAGAGAAAGAAAGGCAGCGAAAGAGACTTTACTTCAAATTGTAAAATGATTCATTATTGAATATTATTACTCTGCAGATGCGTTTTCAAAACATTGTTTTTCTCTCTACGAGGAAGACATTTATGCAGCCTATCACGGGGAGTTCTGAATCGAAGAATACTAATAATAGAGCCTATTGCTTTTGAAAACACTATTTTCAAAAGTATACTTTGAGATTCTGTCATGTTTAATTATTTCTGGTGATAATCTATGGCTCATCTCGGTCATTACAACGGACTGGTGAAGAGAAAGTTTTCCCAAGCACAATGCATCTTGCATCTAGCATTTAAAGAAGTGAAGGCCTCAGCCTGTGAACCTAAAATTTCAAGGCGAGGTTTTGTCTTTGGATAAAAATTTAAGCTAAAATGAAACTATTCTGTCTCAGAATTAACACTGAAACATTGTGTTCACGATAAAGTCGTTGGCCAGGGTCTATGAACGCAAACGAAAACAGCGAAAATTTGAAGTACGACGGAACCGAAGGCCTTGTCAGGGATCGGAATATCGCGAAAGCGACGTCATGTTCGGCAAGTTCCGTATCGACAGAAAGCAACAAGAAAATAAAAATGGCGACTCAGGACAGTAGTCCGTCGCTAATAATTGGTCAACAGTGGTCAGCATGGGCTGATTTATTGTCAACTATTAATGAAATTGGTAAGTTTAATCACTTATATACTGTCATTAAAGACCCTCGTACTGTGATGCTTACGAGTCTCCTTTACGTAGCCTTTGAAAGGTACTATTGTTTACACGGCCTGCCAGGACGGCTTCACCGCCTTGTGTGCAGTTAGTTGATTCGATGAGAGGTTTGAATGGAAAAAGAAATCCTGTTTTGCGAATCATTATTTACATTCTTGCATTCATGAACTCAAAGCCCATTCTCCCCACACTATGTGCATATAATGCAATGGTCATTTTTGTTTTCTTTTAGATGAGGAGGAAAAAGGCAAAGATGGAACAGATAAAAATTCCAGTGATAGCATGAAACTTGGTTTACAAGGTAAGTAGATTTCTAGGAGAATTTGCAAGCAAAATTATGAGTTGGTCTTTCAAAATTTGTTGTAGTATGCAATATGAAACTCCATTTTCACTCCAGCCTATTAGATTTTTAAGCAGGTTTGATATTGTTATATTTATTGACATTTTCATACTGATTGATGTTGTATGTAAAATAAGAATTCAATAATTCAAAAATAACTGGGTTGCTGGAGGCAGGACAGCTGCATGACCTGCACCTGAACTTCACAAGAGGGGTGAGTATAAGTGACTGATGAATTGTGTTCATCATGTTTTGAAATGATCAATTCACTTATTGCTCTTGACATATTTAAGTAAAGATAAAAAGAATAGGTTACTACCTATTTTGTGAGTAAGATTGACTTACTAACCATGTTTATTGATCATCTCTTATGAACTCAAACTTCAGCTTCAAAATTGATGCAAGGAAAATTTTTGTCTAACTGTTCTTCCTCTGTTCACTGCTTTGTTTGTCCACTTACATAACAAGGCTCTAGATTGTGAAGATTTTAGGCCTACTTTGGCTTGATTGATCTTCTTACATGATGCTTCACTGAAGAAATCAAATGTTGTTACATTATTTTATGAATTATTTGTTGACTTGTAATTTCCCCTTGCTGTTTTCTGTCAATGAATGCCATGCTTTTTTTTCTTTGATGACTGCCAACTTGTGCTTGATTGTTGTTTTCCTGGTTGCCAAAGAAAATGTTTGAGCACCATATTTTACAGGAGGTTATTTTTATGATGATGTGATGACTAACTTCTTGATGTCTTTCACTTACCTTCTGGAGAAATAAAGTGTGTTCTAAGTTTTCTAAGTCATTGAAAAATGATACTCAAATAGTCTCTTACAATATAATATTCAATAAATGATAATGGAGTATTTAATAAAAATAAAACTCACTTCAGTGTGTTGAATGTACGCAGGAAAGTTAAGTCTTTTGTATTTTAGGGATGTGGGGACTTTTTTATAGATTCATCAGGATGTTGTTGCAATTGGCAGCAGTTACTGAAAAAAAGCCTATCTTTAGCAGTGTGAAGATGCCTATTAGTGCTACAGTGGAATTGACAATATTGCTTCCTACAGTCAGGGAAGCTGTAGGTTACAGTGTTAGGAAGCTTGCTGTCAAAGTTTGTATCTCAGCAGGCAAGAAACAGAGGCAAAACCAACCTGCTGAAAGAGAGAGAGAGAGGAGAGAGAGAGAGAGAGAGAGCCTTTCTCTATGACTTGTGGCAGGACTTGCTACTCGTGCTGCAAAGGCCATAGGGTCATCCTGATGGGAATGACTACTTAGATGTTGTAGAAGATGCTGTTTCTTTTCTTCAAACAAGTGTAAGGTGCATACCCCATAGCCTTTGCATATGAAGAGGCCAAGAGCAGCAATGGACACAGTTGTTGTAAAGATACATTTTTCATGAAATTAATTTTTCTTGAGGCTTGAAAGACCCATGGAGTTGCAATACACATGTGAAAATGGTTGCAGCAATTTACGCTTCCTCAATATTACTTTTAGTAATCCAGCGATCTGTTTGAGGCCATTAGGAGGATCACTTATTCTACAGCAGTAATGGTGATCAGACAAGATCTAATATGGAAATGCATATTTTTGTAGCATCATTTCCTCACAGCATCAGGACTAGATAATATATTTTATATGCTTTTAAAGTTAAAAGAGTTTTAAAAAATAAATATCTTGGGTAGTTGCGAACTGAAAGCTCACATTACTCCACAACTGTCTTCACAGACCTTTTCTTTTGTGTATTCTGCTCTGTGAAGCTGTCATTTGGATGATGTTAGCATTCTCAGCGTAAACTTTCTCACAAGAAATCACCTTTTGAGTGCAAGTGCAAGTGCACACACATACACACACACACTAATGCACGCACAAATACGCACACACAATTACGCACACGCACACATACACCGATCATTACGTAAATATATACACCCTGCCAGGTGTGTTCAGTGGAGCATGGTCATACAGTACTTAAAACCTGTATTATCATTGATTTTTTCTCATAATAATTGCATCTATGTAACAAATCCCCTCAGTTGGATTAATTGGTGCTCGTGAAAGTCACCTACAAGTCTATTGTCACATCATTGAGCAGTCTGCTCCTCCTCCTCCTCTTCTTCTTTTTTCTTCTTTTTCTTCTTCTTCTTCTTCTTTTTCTTCTTCTTTTTCTTCTTCTTCTTCTTCTTCTTCTTCTTCTTCTTCTTCTTCTTCTTCTTCTTCTCCTTCTTCTTCTCAGTTGCATCACACTTGAAATCCGGTATCTGTCATACATACATACATATAATACTGGGCTGTCCAGCTCAGTTAATCTGTTGGCTTCATTGACCACTAAATGTACCAATATATTTTACATTGAATGTTTTGTTACATACTGATATCAGTCTCACTCCACACTAAAGGTATCTAGATTCTACTTTTGTGATTTTAGCAGCTGAAGGCACCTTGGAAAAATTGTCTTCATCCTGTAAAGCTGACTTTTTCCTTATTATACATAAAGAGTTCTTTAATAAAGAAGGTGGGAAAAGTTACAGACCTGGTTCAAAGTTGTATTACCATGGATGACCTGAATAAAAAAATCCAATTTCTTTAGTCCTGTAATTTGAAGCGAAAGAACAACGGTTTCAACAAAAACAGATTGTTATATATTATCATAGGGTAGGATAACCAAAGGAAAAAGGATGGGTATGGAACAGAATACAGTCATCAGGGTTGATGGTGACATCTGTATTAAAGCGCATAAATAGTGGATGGCACTTTTTTGAAGGAGTAATGTTTGTCACATACTGTCTTTGTGAGTGTTATTTCAGTAGCTCCTACTTTATTGTTGTTTTTCTAGTTGTTTTATTTGTGGGGGTTGAATAATGAGGGGAAAAACAATAAATAAGATTGAAACACATCTAATTTGCTTTTCAACAGTGAATGGTAGCTCCACGAGTCAGGAGTTTAGAATAAAAAACTACGCTTGTAATATTCATAGCTGAGCAAGGTGAAGCTGTGTTTAACATGTGGTTCCTGATTGTTGGTAATTACTGTTTGTTAATGTTTTCTTTTTGTTTTGAGTAGCAAAGTGCTGATTTTAGCTTTCCCAAAGCAGAGTCCTACTTTTTGACAAGCATCAATATGAATAATGTGGATAGAATGAAAACTTGATAAAATGTATGAACACATGTATTTCATATTGCAATTCTTACTCAGCAATTTGACTATGGTTAATTGATTGCATTTTCAGTTTTGAGATCTTACAATGGTTTTTTAGTCGCTTTGCCACCTTCACAAACTGTTATTTTTTGTGTCATTTTATTTTCAGGATTCTTTTTAGATTTAGACGTATATTTCTTCTCTTGCCAAGAGGCTAGATTTTAAAGCTTTAGGAGATTGTTTTTAATGAGCTATCAAGAGTAAAATTATTCCAGTCCTTGTAGGAGTGTAAGCCCAGATGTTTCAAACATGAAGTGCCCAAGACACACCATCTTCTTAAACTCAAAAGTCAACCTTTAAATTCACACTTTGCATGAAATTCAGCTTTGAGGAATGCTCTCATATCAACCTACCCAAAAAGTTGTCGCTGAAAATTTTATCCATGGAACAAAGTTTTAGTGCACTCGACTGTTTCTACTATGAGTTATGTCTGAATTTCTGATTTAAAAAAAATATGTGGCATGTGTAGAATTGTTTTTCTAAGCCTACAGTCTCTTGTCTATAATATTGTAGGGCCTATTATAATATAGAAAAGCCAGTCTCTTTCCCTTTGTGACATTATTGTATTTGCTGACCCTCCCAGTGGGTGGTTGGCAGGTGCTCTGGTGTGGTTTGCTTCTTTCCTAACAAACGTCTATCGTCTTTATCTCTCCTCTTTTTTTTGTGTCTGTTACTCTCTTATAACACCTCAAATCTTCGGCACTTATATGACCTTATTGTGTTGCAAGTGCCGTAAAACTCTTACTAAAACTAAACTGACCCTACCCGTGGAAAGATTTGTACTTATTTCCAGTGTTAGTGAATGCTCAAACTCACTAGGTTTCTAAACGGGACTGAATCTTTTAATAATGCATTAAACGTGTTTCATCTTAATTTGGAGGTGGTTAATTGCTTCATCTGTCTGTCCAGCCTGACAAACTACTTTTTAGTATTTATTGATTTACTGATTCATGACATCTGTTTCAGATATGGGCCTGTTTGGTTTTTGTCCGTCCAGAGAAGAGTTCAGCTTGGTTGAGTGTGAAAAATGCAAACTCCTGGTGAAACCACAAGCGCTCAAGCAGCACATAGGTCTGTCCAAGATCATGATTGTCTTTTTCATGGTTTCTTACAAACAATGAGTTATAATGTTTGCTATTGCTGAGATTCTTGTGCAAGGTTCAGGTACTGGGTTTTTGCCTCTCATGATATGAGTTTTCCCTTAATTCAGATGGAATTTCTAAGGGATGCGGGGCTGGGGTCTGATATTTATATCGCTCCGAATTCTGCCCAAGAACCCCCCCCCCCCCCCCCCCCCAAAAAAATAAAGAAATTGTGCAGATGAAGCAAAAATATGAAAGCTCCAGATTTGTGAAAGTTTTATCTATCTCTGTTAGTTTCATTATTTTATTCAAATTTTTATCTCCAGTTGTTAAGTTCTTCAATAGTAGAATCTTGGCAAATGAAGTATTTACATTTCTGATGGTTCTTTTGTTTTTTGTTGTTTTTAAAAAAAAATCAGAATCTCGTCATGGACCAACCAATCTCAGCAGTCTTGGGAATGTCCCAGCATCAGCTCTCAACTCAGAACTGGGAAAGAAACTGCTGATGCCTCTACCTTCCAAGTCATCTCCACCTCCTTCGTCAACAACATCATCATCATCATCCTCGTCTGCTGGCCGACAATCCAGTGGAACATTCAGACCAGCATCCTCTGGTCGCCCACCGACAAAAGACAGCCTGAAACAAGTGCCAGCTGCTGCTCGTATTAATCCTGCTCCGAGACTCGGTGTCAGTATGAAGATCAATCGTGTCAAGTCTGTGAAGTCAGGGCACAGAATCAGCACTGCAACCACAACTGCAAGCTCCTCTTCATTTTCAAACCCTGTGGTTAAGGTGGAGAAGCTGGACAAGTTATTGGATGCAACATCATCGTCACTCTCATCTTCAACAGCGGCTTCAGAGCAGCTGGATTCCTCTCCCCCTGATCTGTCTAACAGTATAATCAAAACAGAGCCCTCGCCATCGTCCACATCCTCCTCCTCCTCCAAAATATCAACCCTGGTGAACGGTACCTTCAAGCCAGCTGTGTCTCTCACCACCCCGTCGCTGGAGTCCTCCACCACCTCCTCTCCCTCCATGGTCTCTACGGCCACCTTGGTGGCGGTGACCAAGACCTCCGCTGACACACCAATCAGCACGCGCAGCGTGACCACCTTTGTGACGTCCACCACCAGGACCAAGCCCCTCGTGATAGCTCCTGTGATGACTGTGGGATCTGCTGTTTCCATGACTGCCAGACCCATCACTTTGAAAGGCTCAAAGATCTCGAAAGAGCAAAGGGAACGTAAATGTTTACCCTGCAAAGGTGCGCAGATTTAATTTGTAATGGGGGAGTTTATATTTATTACTGAAATGGTTAGTCTGCTAGTCAGAGGAATTTGTAGTTTAAAGGATATGTGTTTGAATCCTTTTGAATGTTATTACATTCTGGCCTTATGAAAAGCATGATGCTCTATGTCTCCTCAGTCCTGTAGCAGACTTCGTTTGGGTGTAAACCCCCGACAGCCTTGTGATCTTTCATCCAAATGAATTTGTGTCATATGGACTGTTATAAGCAATAGGAACAGAAAAACTAATGCAGTGTGGGTCTCATAGGTAGCGAAAGAACTTTATTTTATTTGCCTTTTCTTTTGGGTTATCTGTCGAGATGCTTTTAGACTTCCCATCCTTATAAACCTGCTTAAACTGGATTTATTTTCTCTAAAGGACCTCATCATGGTTTTGTATTGAGCACAGTTCAGAACCTCTCACAGTTGTGCCTTTTAATATATTTTTATTTTTTAGAGTAAAGTCACACTATGTTGTCACAAACAGAAGGCAATGTTTCTCAATAGGGTGTGAGAGTCATTGTTGTTTTCATGCCATCCCCAGATCGTGAATACGATGCTAATAAACACTGTGGAGTGAAAATCCATGAGACTGGCAAGCCTTGCACAAGATCCTTGACCTGCAAGGTGAGAGAGAACATTGATTTCATTTGCACTAAAAAAACTGGTCTTTCATTAATATATGCACTTTTTTAGTTGTTTAAATTGCTGTTTCTGAGCTGTTGGCTTGGTTGTCTTCATTCTGTTTTGTCCTCAGCTTTACATTTGAATCATGAAAGGAAGTTTTTGTTGCTTTCTTTAAACCTTGAATGTTGGGAGGGGAAGGAACAACTTTAGTTCATTTTGAAATCTGAATTTTTGACATGCCTGTCAAGGTTCTGCTTTGGGCTAATTAGTAATATTTTGTTCACAATCATGTTGGCTATACTATTTAAACAACAAAATTGTTTCACTTTCAGACCCATGCATTATCATTGAGACGTGCAGTGCCAGGCAGAAGCAAAGCTTTTGATGAATTGCTCAAAGAGCACAAGGCAGCTAAAGATGCTCTAATCAAGGCCAAAGGTGTGAGCCAGAGTGCACCTTCCGTGGCCAGTGTAGGGAATCGGGTGCTGGTCTCTCCAGCCAGCATTTCCTCTACCATGAATGCCCTGAAACAGCAGCAGCAGCATAATTCACCTCAAGTAAGTTTGTTGTCTGTCCAGCAGGCTTGAGTAAGTTTATGGCGTTCAAAAGCCAGTTAAAAAATTAATTCTATTTAACTAATGATCAGCACTCCCAAAGGCTGAACATATGACTTCACAAGCAATCTTCTTACAGAGTTAGATTCTTCTTTTTCTTTGCCTGTTGCAGACTGTCCTTTGTAACATGGACAAGTTATTCTGTGCTTCTGAAATTGATTCTGGGTAATTTCCTTTATTTTTTGGCTTGGGGATATTGTTCTTATTTTTCCATTTTTTCTTGACGTATTACAGATGGTGTCTTTATCGGGTCAACGTGATGGAAAAGCTTCACTATCCCCTAACACTGGTTCAACTTCCCCGAGGATTCTGGTGCCTTCTTGCGGAGTGCCTACTACAACCACTTTTGTCAAGCCTCGAACACAGTCCAATGTATTTCAAAGGTAATTGTTTTTGGATGTCCAATTCTTGAATTTTTTTGCTAGCTTTTGGTGGTAAGTAACACACTCTGGATAGTTGAAATAGGAGGCCTGCGTTTTGTTTTTAGAAAAAGTTAAACTCATATCTCTAAAGAAAAAGTAATTTGGGTATCTGTTTATAATTTGCCCATGGTGATAACAGTCATCTTAGTCCGTGATAGAAAGGTCACATTTTGGTTTGAGGAAAATTAAGCTTTTTGGAATTGTGTCTCTGGATCGATAATAACAACTAGATTGGAATTGTGTCTGTTGTGAAACTTTAATTTAAAATAGAATTATAAATATAATACATGTTTTCTCCCTAAAAGTTTGTCTCATTTTCCCTCCATAAGGATGGATGTGCAGGCCTGCCTAGTCCACTTTTCCTGAATTAGGGACTCCTAGAGCCAAAAACAGGGACATTTGATCCAAAAAAGGGACAGGACAAAACGTAACTTAATCACTTAATTCACTGGTCTTGGGCGCTTCCTTCTTTTCCTTACCGGTATATCCTCTGGCAGCGAGCTTCATTATGGATAACAATCCTTCTAAATGTCGAATATAATGAAGAAATGCAGAAAAGCAGAAAGAATCTAGGTCTAGATCTTAGGAAAGCTGGTAGTTGATGCATCGCACGCGGTCCAAATCACTAAGATGCTATGCTGTATGATGAAGTGAAGATAGAAAGTCAGATACAGAAACAATATTGATGCCAAATCGAAAAAGACAAAAACAAGTAGAGGCTGAATCGAAAAACACCGTGTCGCCACATACGAATAGTGTGGAAGGCCAAAATTTGTCCCAAGTTGGCTATCCGCACTCTTCTGGCAACTCAACAGGAAGCAGGGTTTATTGATTTTTTCGGCGAAATAAAAACTATGCTCCATCTCCGCACGGAAACGGAATAATTACGGGATAATTTTGCAGCCGTCTTGAGATGGATGGAAACTGGGATGAGGCCTAGCAAAAACGGGACACTGGGACAAGGCCTTGAAATCGGTGAAAAACGGGATGTCCCGGGAAAACCGTGACAAATAGACAGGCCTGGATGTGCAAATCCCTTGCAACCTCTTGGAGAGAAGAAGCAGACCCAACTATTTGGCCCATGTAGAACATACAGCTCTAACAATGACGCAGAGAGAATCGCCAAAGTAAAGACCCTGGAGAAGATCACCCAAGACTTTTTTGAAGTGCAGTAACACCAGGGGATGTTGTTGTCTTCTCTGACTCAATGTCAGTACTCCAAGCCGTCGAGGGAGGAGGAGACTACAGAGGTGACAGGAACATTCTCAGCCTTGTTAAACAGATGGGCACTTCCTATGGCGTCCAGGTCACACTGCAGTGGGTGCCTGGCCATTCTGGAGTACCAGGGAATGAGACCTCAGACCATCTATCAAAGACTGGAGCAAGCCTGCCCCAGACAGACACAGACGCCTCTTTACAGACCTGCAGAGGGATTCAAGCCAAAAGCAGAGACGAGTGGCTAAACAGATGGGCCAACGCAGAAACAGGAAGATCTCTCTTCGGGTACATCGACAAACCCGAATCTTTTATGTAGAGCCGATCAGACATTGATCTTCATAGCCCGCACAGGATTCTTACACACCAACAAGCACATAAACAGAATCAACCTCATCTGGGAACCCCATTGCAGACACTGTGACTACAACGAGGAGGCTGTTGAACACCTTTTCCTTCACTGGCCAAACTTGGCAGTTCTTCGACACACGTTGACCAGATGACAAGGACATGTGGTTACTTGAGGGAGGCATTGCGCTGCCAAGAGCGAAATTCTCGCAGCTAAAGGGATTTGAAAACAACAACAACAACATCCCTTGCAGCCTTTTTTTTATTGTCTTCAGGTCTGCTTTCTTTAGTCTCATTTTGGATTTATTTTTCTTTAGATATTTCACCTCAATGTTACCTGAATTTACTTATTTATTTTATTATCTCTAACAGGTTTACTGCACATGCCTCACTGCCATCCCCCATCACAGTGAAAGAAGAAACGCTTACCAGACAGGATTCCTCCTCACGTTTATCATTGTCCTCGTCCTCCTCTGAGCTGCAACGTTCAGACTCACAAGACTCGAGGCAAGATCAGAGCTTCCTATCCTACCATCCCAAGCCAATGGCTGTAAGTATCAGTATGTGACAAAGTGCAAAATCAAACAGTTTTTTTAAAGGGTTCTGTAGCTTTCTATTGTAATTTTTGTGGATCTTTTGGAAACATTTTTGTATACAGTTCACATGTTTTGCAAAAACTGTTGTTCAAGTCACATTGTTAGTAAGAAAGTTTTCCGATTTTAAAAATTTTTGAAGGGGTATAAGAAAACTGATGACAAGAAAAAAGCTCTTGGTATGTAATCAGTTTCATTGCTTATGTTATAAAATTGAAACTGCCTAAGCACCTATTAAACAACTGGAAGACTGGATAAGGGAGAAACTAGAGAAAACTGAACATAGCTAATTTCTCGCTTTGGGCCAGAAATCGGGCTTTGCGCGATGGGTAATTTTTGGGCCTCTCGAGATCAGAAATAACTCTCTTCTTAGTATAGTTACGGGAAACTCGTGGACAAAACTGAATGAAACTCGGCAACCAATCAGAGGAAAGGTCAAACTAACCACATGCGAGCGTACAATGCCGAATGGTTTCTAGAATCGGAGAAATTGCTGTGTTTGTGCTATTTTCCTCAGTGGTTCGAAAACTAAGAGGAGATGAGGATTTGCGCAGACGAGACCGGCGCCACACATGTCTTCTTTATTGCTGTAACATTTCAGATCTCTGTATATAATACATTTTACATACCAACTTAAAATTACCACCCATCTATTGATAAAACACTAGAGCAGGAACCTAGATCCTGGACTCAACACGCTAGTTGCTGGCATACGAGAGACGCATGATTGCTTGGCGGCAGGTGATTGGCTGCCTTTAACAAAATAGGTCACCGATGACTTCATTGCGGGTTTCCCGATACCGCTTTACTAAGTTGTAAAAGGAGTGATCCGTTGCAGTTTAAACGATGTCATGCAATTCAACAAATTTCCACTCAAATGTTTAAGTCTTAAAGATCAAAACACATTGAAAAAGAGATAGCAGATCTAAATTCTGCACTAATAATCTCATGAAGCTGCCAAGTTTCATTCATATTCTCCATTTCATTACTGACTTATGAAGTTTTCCCTCAAAACTCATCAAGAAACGTCCCACTTTTTGGCGATATTTCCCTCTATGAAAGACCCCCTAAATTTTTCAATAAAAAATCACAGTAACTTTTCAATTTGAAAATTAAAAACCACAGTTCTTAGAATTTTTCATTGTCATTGTTAACTTTTGTATTTCATGGATGAACACATCGAAATCTTGGCCAGTTGTTAATGTCTGCTTATAGAGAAATGGAGATCATTGCTGTGGAAGCCATTCAGCTCAGTTTGGGAGAATGTTTACAGTTCTTTTTCTTTGTTGGCTGATCTGTACAACAAACTAGTAATTTTTTAGCTCTGTAAAGTGAAAAGTGAATTTCTGTATATGGTACCAGTAATGAATGTGTTCTTTATTTGATCTTTAGGTTTGCCAGTTTGGAGGTCGCATGAATGACCGAGGCTGTTTCCTGTTTTCCCGCAAGACAGACTATGTACGAGCTGCTTTCCTTAGCGCTCTCGAAAGGCATCTTAATCCACCTCCCCACAAGTGAGTGATCCTGAATTTAATATTTTATCTCAATATTTAACTCTCAAACTCTTTTTTTGGGGCAATCATGTAGTTTTAAAAAACTTTGAAAATAGTATTCAGCGCGTGTAAGAAATTTATAGCCCCATGACCTAATAGTTTTATGCTTTGTCACCTTCCTGTGTAACACATGACCATTTCGTTTTATTGCTAAGTGTTGAAAGATTTAAAATTTAAAGTCGTGTGAAATATGATCATATGAAACATGAGTGTGAGGATCAGTAGCTACATAGTGTATGGGATTCACCACTATTCTGAGGGTTATAATTCATTAAAAATGTTTTTGTTGATGCTTGTCAGCATAGATTTTGTGTCCCAGTTAGGCTTAGAGCTGTACTGCTATGGTTGCTTTTCTCATGTAATGGATAATTATTTGGTTTCTGAACAGAAAATTGTGTGTTGAGTCCAACCTACCGAAGGAGTCCCAGATGTTCGGTAACTCCCAAGACCCATATGAGTTCAACATGATTGACAACAGTGGAAATGGAGGGCTCAATAGCAACCCGGCGTCTGCCAATCTAGTCAGCATCTCGTCAAAACCTACAATAAAACCCAAGTCCAAACTTCCCTCGTCACCGGTGGCTGCGTCCAGCAACTCAATGACCTTGTCCGCCATCAGCCTTTCTTCCCCAACACCGGCACCCTCACTCACACTTCAGTCGTCCTCGTTCTCTTCACTGTCTGCGCCGGCAATCTCTGTTGCTTCTGCTACGCCAGGACTTGCCTTGAACTGGTCTGTGAAGCCAAGGGAGAGCACTGCTGCTTCTCGCAGTCCGTCAGCCTCACCAGCCCCTGCTCTCTCCTCTGCAGCCTCAGCGACAAATCCCGGTAAACGAAAAAGAAGTGGCAGTTCTGGTGCTGGTGGCAACAATCTCATCGCAGTTGCTGGTGGCAACGGTACTCTGTCAGCTGTCTCTGTGTCAACCGCCTCGGCAAGCCTGGCAAGTGCAATAACGCAGCAGCAGACTGGCTTAACAGGCATAATAAGCTCTGGTGCCCTCAACAGCTCCCAGACAGGCAATCTAATTGCCATACCCAGTGTTAACTTGACGAATGCAGCGAATCTGGGTCAGATCAGCGCGGCCACACTGGGCACTGCCAAGCTCAATCCTGGTGCTGCTGGTGCTGCGACTTCCGTGCACAAGAACAACAATGTGTTCAAAGACTTCAGCCTGGTTCTCACCGGCATCGACTCGTTAAACGGTCAAGTAGTCAACATCTCTTCAGCGCAGCTCGCAGAACTGGCAGCCAGTCAGGGTCAGACACTGCTGCTGAACAACTTCACCCCTGGCAGCAGCAGCAGCACAAACAGCAGTGCAGCAGCAGCAGCGGCAGCGCAAAATGTGAACGCACCCACCATAGCCATGACGGGATCCACTTCTGCCACAGTGCGCCCAGCCAAACGCAGCCGCACGTCCAGCAGCAAGTCGTCGCACCAGTCTCTGTCCAACTCTGCCTCCAAACTCTCGGCAAACGCCTTGGAGGGCTTCAAGCTGATTCCTAGCAATAATGTGATATCTTCTGGCACCCTGCCCCCGAACGCAGTGCTCCTCGACAGCTTACAGGGCGCAGTGTTAACCTCGGTGGCCTTAGCAGGGGGCGGGGCTAATCCGACGCTCGTGGCCATCACTTCCTCCACGGCAAACACGAACAGCGTCACAGTAGGTGGCAACCCCACCCAAGTCTTGTGTGCGGTGAGTGTACTTGAGCTCTTCTAGTTTTTGTTTATTTTATTAACTCGACAGAAGATGCTATTTGAGCCAGTAGAAGAATTAAGCAGGGCGGACCAATATTTGATAAATGCGGAACTTCAAGTGCGATGCAATCAAGAAAAAGAAAGAAAAATTTTTAACTTTTATCCTGGTTCTGTATTCCTCCTTTCTTCCTTCCAGTTTTTTTTCTCCCTCTCCCTCTCCCTCTCTCTCTCTCTCTCTCCATCCTCCTCTTATTTTAAAAATTAATAACTGGAATACAGTTATACTGAGTTATTCATTTTGGTGAAGCTTTTAGATGACTGTTTTTACACCTTTCAATGTTACCTCTTTTGCTAACAGGAGCAGCTTATTTAAAAAGTGTTCTAAAGTTTTTTGTGTGATGTGTTTTATTCTGTTATACAGGGGGGGACTTCCGAATTTAACAAACTTACTCAGAGAACTTGACACAGATGGGTGACAAGGAAAGTCAAAGAAAACATAGTATTTTGTTCTTTTTTTAAAAGTTCTAATAAAATTTTATTTCTCTTTGTTTACTAGGACTCTTCGTCTGGCCAGATATTAACTCCTTCCTCCCTGGTGAATGGCACCGGCCAGTCGTCTTATGGTGAGTTTATATCTTTTGTAGTATCAGTATACACATAGTAAGTTTGTCCGGAAAATGATTTATTTGTGTGACACAGGGCTGGCATATGCGCTGACACTGTTCTCAAATTGGACTGATACACTTACATTTGAGGTTGTGGTATGAATGGGGCAGGAATTTGTTCCGTTTCATTACGTCTTAGCGGAGTATCTTGTTAGGAGTAGGGGGCAGTTTTAATATTACTATTTTTGAAATGTCTTTAGTGTGAGGGTTTTGCTTTCCTATTTTGATTTCAAAGTAGTTGTTGTTATCGATCCAGGGGTTCAAAGGAGAAGTGAAACATTTTGGCAGCGTCTCCGTTGGAGACTGAAGCCTCAAGCCATCCATGTACAGTTGAACCTGTTCTAATGGCCACATGTATAAATAATACAACACTGTGTGAGATGGCTCACTGTCTAAGAGGGCCACTTTTATCCTCAACAACGGGTGCCCGTCTAAGACAATTTCAACTATTCTCTTTTGTCTTGGTTCAAATGTGCGCAGTAGTCTTACGCTGTCGTGTTTCTTTTTTCTCAGAAAAATCGGGCAGCAGTGGCCGTCACCATGCATCATCGTCATCTAAGTCACACCACCATCACCACCAGCATAATAAAGCCCAGCAACAACAGCAGCAGCAACAACAGGGAATGGCATTAGGCAGTGTCCTCCAGGCTGCCTCTTCCTCCCTAGCGGTGCCCTTAGCCACAGGCTCAACAGCTCAACTGTGTTCCAACCAGGCCATTTTCAAGCCTGGGAGCACGTTCAACTTGGCCAAAAATGTGGGCAAGCTCACTGTGCAGCCTGTGTCACTCACCTTCCCTCTGGTTAACCAGCAGGGTCTAGCAGCCCTCACCTCGGGAAAGCCAACGCAACTACAGCAACAGCAGCAGCAACAACAGCAGCAAGCTCAGACGCAGCAGCCGCACACGCTGCTAGTGGCGACCAGTGGGGTGGGGGCATCAGATGACCAGACAAAGACAGTCCGCGTGGCTGCAGGGAAAACAGAGCTTCACCTTCAGCCACAGATCTCGAATTCGTCTTCTGGGAACCTCATTTCCTAGCAGTCCGTGCCTCGTCACATTACCCCACCCCCCACCCCCCTCACTTTCATGCTGGTGGCTAGTGTCCCTGTCTCAGTTGTGGCCTGCTCCCTGCTTTTTTTCTATCTTTATTAATACAATCAGTCAAAGCGTTTATTTCTTTCTGTTTTTAATTTGTGGTTGAAAGGGTGCTGCAAAATAATTGCTGGATTAATATATACTATGGTTGCCATTAAAAGAAAAGGCACTGCTGTGTTGAAGAGACAAATTTCAGGACTGCAACTGGTTTCATTGGACTTGCTGTTCCAACAGAAGGGATGTTTTGTTTCTTCCAAGATGTTCTGTACTGTTGTAAAATGAGCCTGGAAGTTGACAGTGTTCGTAAAAGACTTGTAATTATGATTATATTTAATGTGCTGCCATGGCAGATTGATTCTCAACTGCATAGTGTTTAACTCCTTGACGTCTTTCATATTTACCATCAAAGACAGTGGACTCCTAAGAGGGTCAACTGAATTGATGATACATATCTGGGAATATCTCTCAATAAAGTCATAGATCTATGAACATCTTCATGAGCTTTTCAATCTAGGTAAAAGTTACTTGTGTGTTGAGTATTTTAAAGCATGAACTGTGAAAACATGTACTTAGTGGAGCTGTGTTTGAATGGATTTGAGAAATTGTGAAATGAATTTCTCTTATGATCAGAATTTATTTCTGAAATGTCTTGGTCTAAACAGAGAACAAGCTGAAAAACAACAGCATAGCACTTGCACTTTCATTTCTCATTTTTGTATTGGGAACTTTTTTGTGAAACACATTTTATAAAAGCATTTTTATTTCCTCAGGCAGTCATTCAACTGAATAAGTTTTTGAAATTTAAAAAAAACCCGACACTTCTGTGGAACTTTCATAACAATTCCTTTTCAAATGAATTTCATTCAAATTCATAGGCCGTTTCAGTTGTATGAAAGGGCTTGATCACAAATAGTGTTTTTGATCTAATGGAAAGAAAAACTCGTTCTAAAAAAAATCATCATTATATAGTAGGACAAGGCTAAGCTGTGCATAATGTGATTTCTCAAAGTCAAAAGTTGTGCTGTAATATTTCATTGAGGGGAGTGCTCCTTGGTGGGATTTTGATGTCGAATGAAGTAGCATTTCACAGTCACATTGTGTATGGGCGCAGTAAGTTCAAGATATTTGTTAATATACATATCATATGTGTCATGACGTGGAATAGGGCGCTTATCAATTTTTGGGCATGTGGCGTTAGTGGTATCATCAGAAAGCTTATTCATTTGCCTTGCTTTCAATGAAAAAAATGTCCATCTAGCTTGAAAAGAAGTCAAGATATTTGTGGTTGAAGAAGGTGAGGTCGCCTGGTTTCAATGGTTAAATTAATGAGAAAATGGTCGCCAAAGTTTGATAATTCCAATAGCTTGAGGCTTAAGAGTCCTTGAAAACTGAAAATTGCATACTTTGCGCCTTTAATCAACGTTTTTCAATAAAATTCACATCAAAAGGTGTTTAGCCAAAAAACAAAATTTCGATAAAAATTGCCAAACTGATGAAAAAATGGTGGTTTTTTTCCCCATTACTTTGATGAGCGCCTGATTTCACCACGATGCCTCACATATATACCTATATTCAAGAGAAGGATTTTTGTAAATTAGTTTAAAGAAATTCGTTGAAAAGTCATGAAAACGCATGTAGGTAGATTCTCCTTTTACAAGTCACAATTTTGATCAGGTCATTATTGTTACAAACTGGGGTGCAAGTTTTCTGGCAAGTTTCCAGATTTCTGGATTTGTGATTTTTAGGGTTTGTGTGTTCACCTGCTCGACAGAATAACGAGCATTACTTTCTTATGGGGTTGAAGGATATTCTAGTCATTAGATTTTGTAAAATTCCTTGATCGCTCCTCACTCTTTCTTCATGCTTATCCTTTACTCAAAATGAGGATAAGGGCACGCTTTCTTTTTTAAACTGTGGAATTTATTTGAGTTTCTTAAATTTCATATTTAGTTTTCAAAATGATTCGCAGGAGTCTGTTGCCAAATCGCTTACACCCATGTTTGAGTCACTTGCTACAGGTACATTGTCAAGGGAATGGAGAGAGAGAAGAAAAGAATAGTCCAAAATTAATAAACAGGGGGCACATTCAACCTCATACCCCTGTACTAGTAGGAACAAATCTGTTTTATTTCTCCTCCAGTGAATAAAAGAACAAGAGATCATGAAATTTTGGGGTTGAATTTGAATTATTTGTTTTAAAAATAAAAATAGAAATGTTAACTTGTTAAAGTACAAGGGGAAAGAGTGATTTGTATAAAGAGCATGGAATGTTAAATTTGAATACTTAGTTTGCTTTTGGATGGAAACATTTGTGTGTGGATGTAGTCATAGTCACAGGACCTTTGCAAAGTTGGATGAGTAATTGAACTGAAATAGTTACTTATCTTTTTTGGTCTGCTCCTGTCATGATCCCTTCCTTTTTTTTCTTTCTTAAATTGTATCTCTGGATGGCAACGACAAGAATATTGTAATCACCTCAATTCACAATCACAATATGCACTATTTTTGGGGTGTGTGACATCTACAATATGCACTGTGTTCTGCTGTTTTACTCTAGGTGAGTCGGGTTTTTAAAATGTTCTGCTGGCATTGTTACCTTGGGAATTTTTTTCTAGCAGTCATATGTCTGTTGTTTTATCAATTCCTTTTTTAAAAATAGTTAATTTGCTCTCTATTTTCGGTATCTCTTGAAAAATGCATTTTATTTTGAGGTCTTTGCGAAATGTGCACACAAATATGTGCAGGTTGCGGCAGTGCTTTGAACAAGCATCAGAGGGAACCGAATGCACTCATTGTAAGTGTGGTGTCCAGTGAGTTTAGTACATGTCATTGGTAGATTCCTTATTATAACTGAGCTGTTGTGTGTATGGCCTTGACGAGTGATATTGTAGCTTTTGCAGCAGAGAAGTGTTGTGAACTGTACCAAATACTCTCCCAAGTTTTGTTTTACTTCCAGGTGTTGTTTCCTGCATTTTGTATTACTCCCACAGTTCTGTGTTGAATATATCTTGTCTTTCTTGTCTCTGGCAAGTTACTTACTATGTGAGGAATCTCTCTCTTTCTCTTACTGTGTTGTTTTAGTATGATCTATAAATGATGAGATTGTGTCACAGGACTTTCGGACAAATCAAAAAAATTCCTTTCTATTTTGAGTCTCGGCATGTTTAGTAGTGTGTTGTGTTTTTGTATTGTAAATAAAGTGTTGTAAAGGTAAGGAAGGGATATCATAATACCTTGGGTTCCCAGGGGTTGTCTTTTATACAGTTCCATTCTGCTCTCAGATGTAATTCAGTCAGACTGGCACAAAGTGGGTTTGACTCCCTACTTTTGTTAAAAATCTTTTCCTTTTACGACTTCTTTCCTTTTTGTTGTTGTTTGTTTCTTGTAAAATGTTAATTAAATATTATGAATTCCTTGGCCTCGGTAGCAGATAATTAACATCCTTCCAATCAATGCCGACTCTTGCTGAAGGTTTCTATATTCATTTGTGATGTTTGGCTAACACACTGCTGTTCAAATTCAATCAAGACTTGACATCACACTATTTTTTTAGATGCGTCTTTCATAGGAAGATTTTCACTCTGTGGTATCCTGATGTTGGTCAATCATTTTTAATCTGCACAATATCTCAAGTGGGATGGTTTCATGTTTCAGTTCAGTTTATGAAAGGAACTTGTGTATGCTAGGGTCAAATTTGTGTGGGATGAATTTTATGCTCAGGTAGATTTGCTTTTCGCTTTCATTCTTGAATCTTGCCGAGTTTCAGTACTTTCAGTTGCGAGTTTTACTGTGTCACAAGTGCTTTAGTTCAATGTCTCAGTTAAATTTCATAACCGGTGTGTAATGGACCCATGTTTTCTTCTCATCAGTAGTACTACTAATGGCACACACATTGCTATAGTAATGTATGTAGGCCTACTATTTATTCACGTGAACTCTTAGTCTTCATGCTGCTGCTGCACTACAACAATCGTGTTTGAAGTTGCTCACCATTTTCTGTAGGAAAAGCTGAAACTATCTAGTGTAGTTGAACACTTTGTACTACTATTTATTTACTTTTGAGTTTACCTGCTTGCTGCAGGTAAAATTAATTTATGAAAATTTACATTAAACAAGACAAATTCAGTGGAGTCTAATAACCTGATTGTTTTAAGTAACCTATTTCTTTAATTGTTCGGCCGGTTAAAGTTTAGTTTGAGATGCCTAATGGTCTTCATTATTGTTTTCGCTTTGGGGAAGGGATGGAGGATGTAAAGTCGTCACTGGAATTTAAAGAATAGTCGAAGGTTTTGACGTACTCTTTGAAATTCTATCACTTTGTACTCACAGCATTCTTACAGAAATTTGACTCGCGTAATGTATGGCTGTTTGTTATTTTCACCTTTTCCCATACTATACCTGGAATATTAAGTAATTTAGAGCATTTCCCCTTCCCCCTTCCTAGAATATGTTAGTATTCTTCTGCCATGAGTCAGACTGAATGCTCCCTACTCCACAGGATTTTTGCAAGGCTGATAGATGTACGAGTATTCTTATTTGTCTGTTGGGATTTGTATCATGTGTGTGTGGATGTGAGTTTTTCCATTTACAAATAGAAGGTAGAGCTTGTTTTCCATTCTCTCTCACTGATTTTTGAGCCATTTTCATTAATTTGGCATCTATTCTATGTCTGCCGTTTCTGAGGATAGCACATTTACCCACAATGTAGGCTTTTGACCTCGAGACAAAGTGTCTGTGACAACGAAGTTTACTGATTGTTTGATCTGTCCGTCATGAGTCATCTATGCAGCGTTCTGGAATTGATTTACTATCATTACTGTACTCTACTGCAGTCAGGTTCTTTCTGTCCTCGGAGCAGACATATATATATAAATATGACTGCCTGTTTTTAGTCCCATGTACTTTATAAAATATGCAGAAACGTAGAAGACTGCTTACCCAACATTGCGAATAGTAGCTCACAGGAAGAAATGCAGCCTGAGGAATTTGTGGTTGTCAAATTCCTATTTGTAGTTAATAAATTCTTAAATTATTATCCATATTTACTGGAGCCCTACCTTCTTCGTGATGTGTCCTGGTTTAGTGCCAATTTGGGTATGACACTTTAGGCCTTTAGATTTTGTTTTTGCTGTCAAAATAGTTTTCAGAATCTTTTTCTTTTTTCATTTCTGCAACTTTCATTTAATTAATGTCTTGCTGAAGTATTTTTCTGAGATGTTTAACTTTCCATAATGCCGTCAAAGTGACAAGTATATCTTGTGTTCCTGTAGGCTGGTAGCTGGCACTGGGTTTTTTTTATAGCTGATGTTTATTTATTCTTACTAATGCAAGACCCTTTCTTTTTAGGAAATTTATATAACATTTTTGGATCTCAATGATCACTCTAAAATGCAGTTCTCCTGCACCTGCATTCTTTCCATCTAGTACAGTCACTTTGTTTATGACCTACACAAACAGTATACTCTGACTTTACCCGAATAATTTTCACTGCATTTTTCTTTTTATATTTCTAGCGGTCTTTGTTGTAGTTACGATGCGCATGTGTGCTTCAGATGGACTATTATCCATGTGATGAGAATTGCCCTGCAGCTTTGTCTCCTCAACGAACGAAATGAAATCTTTGTTTTCTTGGTCTTTCTATGATTGTTGGGTAATCATGGTTTTCTATTACATTTTACTGTAATGTCTTTTTGGTGTACTACACTTAAGTATGCAGAATACACAAATCTTAGGGATCTTAAGAGGAATGAGATATACCTAGTTTTAAAGTTTTATTGACTCACCTTCCCTTTTAAAGTTTCTGTCGATCTGTCTACCTGTGCTCTGCATGACACCTTAGAGGCGAGTGCAGTTTTAGAGGGATTTTCAGGGGAACAATTCTGGGAAGTTAACCTTTTTTCTGACTGTTTAGATGGGAACCACCAAGGAT